CTCTGCCAACCGACCTGCTTTGTTTTGAATTTCATAAATATGTGTTTAGAAATAGCCTGAGCACTGACCCACATGTCAGCCCACAGCCACAGTGGCCCAGCTTTCTTGGCTATACCTAAGGAACAGTCCTCTACCCAGAATTCCATTCCCACCCCTGCCACACTCCTTGCCCTCCCTTCCCCAGGCCCTGGCTACTCACTCAGCCTCCGCAGGTATGAAACGGCATCGTCATAGCCCCGATAGTAGTAATCCTGCAGGGTCTGGGCCATGACACAGGAAAAGGAACGAGGTTGCGGTCACTGTCCCTGCTCATCACCATGCTCTGCATGCTGACACCCCCCTCCTACCCAAGGCCATGTCCACAGCCCTGGGCTGCACTGCCCAGGAGAGCGGGGAAGCGATTGCTGAAATGGTGGGCATGGCAGCATGTCAGTCTCCCACTGCCCCTGCCGGAGTGTCACCAACCTCCCTGCAGGAGAGGGTGGGGTGTTTCTGGGGAACCAGAGACTGCACATCTGGGTCACAGGAAGGATAGTGTTTGGGGTCTGGGTTCAAGTCCCAGCTCTACCCTTCACTGGCTGTGTGGTTGTAACCACTCACAGTCTCAGTTTCTCCACCTGTCAAATGGGTATAATGGTGGTATCTTGGCAGAGGATGTTGGGAGGGGTGTGTGAGATGTTCCCTCCACAAAGCTTTTTCCGAGGAGGGCTGATTTGGAAGCACTTTGGTCTCTGCCAATTCAGATTCTGTCACAGGACTTAGTTTGTTTTGAGTCAGGTTGGCATGTAGCTCAGGCTAACCTCAAACTCCCTGTGCATCTAAGGATGACTTTAAATTTCCACCTGTGCCTACATCCCCAGCTGGGATTACAGATGTGCATCACTGTGCTCAGTTTATGCAGTTCTGGGGCTCAAACCCAGGGCTTCCAGCATGCTAGGCCAGCACTCTGCCAACTGAGTCCTGTTCGCTTTTTAGCAATCTTTTAAACGTGGAAAAACCCTGGACCCTTTGAGGGGAGAGCCACAGCACCGGGGTCCCCTCTGATCCGGGTCCCCCCCGCCCCCGACTCTCCTGTCTCTCACCACCAGGTCTGGGGGGAACAACGCATGTGTCATGCGGGTGATGTTCTCCAGGGAGAACTGGAAGGAGAAGTTGAACATCCGGAAGTCGTGGAAGATGGCAGGGCAATCTCTCGGACAGATATCTTGCTGGCTGCTGAAGGTGGAGATGGTGATGGAGTCCGTCCAGAAGGCACAGGGCTGCATGCTCGTGAAGCCACCATCAATGTACCTCTGCGGGGAAGACAGACGACACTCAACCAGAGAGGACTCGGAGGACCTGGGGCCACAGTACCTTTTGGGACCAGCCTTGAGGCTGAGGTCCCCACGGTCGATGGTGGGTGGTGTGGAGCAAGGTCACTTGCTGTGTCTACAGTAGCCTCAGGACTCCTAACCTACCGCTCTGACCCTGGGCTGTCCTCCCTCTGCCATCCTGGTGATGCTGGCCTCCATGTGGTGTCCATGGAGACCACGCCCCTCCCACGGCCTCACATTGCACCCACCTCCAGGTCCTTTCTTTCGGGGGGGGGGGGGGCTCCTGTCGGTTTCCTCTCCTATGAACTGAACAAGAGATGACCACTACGGAGGCTCTGTGCCCCGTGGGAGCCTGAGAAAGGCTTGCTGACAGAGCATGATGTCTGGACCAGGGGTTACATCCCCAAGACTCAGACTGTAGCCAGGAGACGGGTCAATGGTCACCGTGAGGCCAGCCAGAGGTGCAGAATCCTGGCCTGCCCAGATCTACCGAAGCAGGTTGTTTTAGGACTCCTCAGAGTTAATCATGGGCACATGGAAGCCTGTGACCACTGGCCCAGACGGCCCCGAAGGTCTCCTCAGGCAGGGTCTCAGGTCCCTGCGCCCTGCGCACTGTCTTCTGGGAGAACGCGACAAGCCTTGGAACCCTGACTTGCTGAGTCCTCTACAGGGTGGGTAGGTCTAGAGAGGGCCCTGAACCAGCTGGAGGAGGCTCCCCTTAAAAACCCAGGCATCCGGGGTTGGGGATTTAGCTCAGTGGTGGAGCGCTTGCCTAGCAAGCGCAAGGCCCTGGGTTCGGTCCTCAGCTCTGGAAAAAAAAAAAAGACAAAAGACCAAAAACCCAGGCACATGAGGAATTCTGGGTGGAAAATGTTCCTCCCCTTAGGACACCCTGGGGTCTCAGCTCACCCAGTCACTCACCTCACCCCGATATGTCGGGGGGATGAAGCCGCAGTAGACAGGAACAAAGCAGCTGCAGTACAGGGCCTGTGGAGAGACGGGCTGAGATGCCACAGGCCCTGGAGTAGGTGGTAAAGACGCCCAGGTGCCTCTGACCCCTGACCTCTGACCCCTACCGGTCCCCAGCTCCCTAAAGTACTGGCCTGGGACACAGAGTCTTTCATTCAGTTCCCAGCCTTAGGTAGTCTACTGGGTTAGTCAGACCCGACGTCCTAAGGAGGGGGTGGCCTTGCCATATCCAGAGGCTCTGCTGACCGCCAGCTTTCCATGAACCTGCGGCTGTCCTGGACCAGGCCCTGGCCTCAAAAGAGGCTGAGAAGCCGTCCTTGGGAGTGTGCAGGAGCGGGAGGTGAAGGAGGAGAGACAGGGCAGGGCGGGATGAAGGGACGGGAATATGGTAAGCCGCAGAGGCTGGACCGGAAGCGAGGAGGAATAGCTTGAAGCAGATGTGGCCTGGTTTGGGTGTGGTGAGCTGTGATGTTGTGGTAAGAGTGGGAGCTGGGAGAGGCTGGGAGGGAGACGGCAGCCATGGCAGCCATGGGCGTGAGGGGGTGTCCCTCACAGAGTGGAGAACGAGTCACCTTAGGGTTCTGGTGCTTGTTCACCCCAACCTCTCAGGACTGGGCCAGACTTGGGGAGTGGAGGAGAGTGGAGACAGACAGTCTCATGAAGGAAAGCTGAGCAAAGCCAGGTCTGGTCAGTGGTCACAGCTGGTCACTAGAGTCTGTCTCCGAGAGCTCAGCACAGTGCCATCCACGTCAGGGTGGGTGTGGACTTATCTAATCGGGAAACTGTGGAGGGAAAAGTCAACCATTTTTTTGTTTATTTACTTGGTTTTTATTTTCTTTTATTTTCTTTATTTTTTTTGAGACAGGGTTTCTCTGTGCAGTCCTGACTATCCTCAAACTCACTCTGTAGCCCAGGCTGGCCTCAAACTCATAGAGATCCACCTGCCTCTACCTCCTGAGTGCTGAGATTAAAGGCATGCACCACCACAGCCCGGCTTTTTATTTTTTATTTTTAAAGATTTATTTTATGTGTATGAATGTTTCACCAACATTTATATCTGGGCACAACTTGTATGCCTGGTGCTTGTGGGGGTCAGAAGTAGGGGGTCAGAGCCCCTGAAAATGTAGTTACAGATGCTTGTGAGCCACCATGTGGGTGCTGGGAACTGAACCCAGGTCCTCTGGAGGAGCAGCCAGTGCTCTTAAATACTGAACCATCTCTCCAGCCCCATTAATCCTTTTTAAAAATATTTATGCCATGTGGTGGGGGTGTACACCTTTAATCCCAGTAATGAGGAGACAGAGGCAGGTAGATCTCTGAGTTCCAGGCCATACTTGGTCTGCAGAATGAATTCCAAGACAGCTAAGGCTACACAGAGAAACTGTCTCAAAAAAAAAATTACTTTTATTTATGTGTATGCATATATGCATGTGTGTGTGTGTGTGTGTGTGCGCGCGCGCGCGCGCGCCCTGTGTATGAGTGCCCAAGAGGCCAGAAAAGGGCATTGGATCCCTTGGATCCCCTGGAGCTGGAATTACAGACGGTGGTGAGCCACTCAATGTGGATTTGGTGACTAAACTTGGATCCTCGAAACAACAGGTGCTCTTAAAATGGCCCCCACCTTTCTAGACAGGGTCTCTTGTAGCTCAGGCTGGTCTCAGCCTTGCTGTGTGTGGATGGCCTTGAACTTCTGATCACCTCTGCTTATATGTGGGGGTGGCACCCAGAGCCTCCTGCGGGGTAGGCAGGCACTACCAACTGAGCTACAGCCCCAGCCAGATAATTCAATCTCTGTCAGGGCTCATGAGGACCGAGCGGGAGCATGGGTACTGTTCCTTATCCTTTCTAAAGCTGGGGGTACGCTGAGACCCAGGTCTGGAGGTCTCTGGACTTGGGGGGCCACCACTAGGCTTCTGAAGCCCCAGATGCAGCCCAGAGGCCCTGCAGGGTGTAGGCAGAGGAAGGGAACTTTGTGTAGAAGGGCTGGTGATCGGCCTCTCTCTGTCACCTCCTGTGAAACTGCTCCTGGCGGAGATGCAGGCAGGAAGGAAGCAAAGAGCCAGGCAAGCAGGGAGGGGAGGAAGGAAGGAGGCTGGGACGGAGCTGCGTGGGACTGGGACTGAGCTGCGCGGGGCTGGGACCGAGCTGCACGGGGCTGCGCGGGGCTGGGACGGAGTTGCGCGGGGCTGGGACCGAGCTGCAAGGGGCTGCCCGGGGTCCCCTAGGGGCGGCACAGTCAGGGCCTTGCCTCGATGAGCTCCTCCTTGGACCTGTACTCTGAGACCACCACGTTCTCTCCGTCCGTGACTCTGGTGAGGCTCACGTGCAGCTTCCCGGTGGCGAACTTGTAGGAGTCTTCGGGCAGCACGTTGTACAAAAACTGTCGCATCATCTGAACCATCTTGCAGGATGGGGACAGAGGTCCCAGGAAGTACTTCTTCACCTCGGCCAGGCCGGCGTTCAGCACTCTGAGGTACTCCTCTGTGGAGGGAAACAGAGGGGAGGTGCGCCATCAGCCAGCAGTGCAGGACTAATGGGGGGCGGGTTGGGGTCCACAGAGGTCTCCTAGTGAGATCTGAGCTTGCTTTACACAGCAGGGCTGCACTAGGGGATGGCTGGACCACGGATGTAGTTACAGGTGTTTGGGATGCTTTGCACTTGGCTACGCTAGGGGGAGGTCTTTTGCTCCACCACTTGGCATTCCTTTAAAAGCCCTTTAGAAGCCGGGTGATGGTGGCACACACCTTTAATCCCAGGACTCGGGAGGCAGAGCCAGGCGGATCTCAGTGAGTTCGAGGCCAGCCTGGGTTACTAAGTGAGTTCCAGGAAAGGCGCAAAGCTACACAGAGAAACCCTGTCTCGAAAACAAACAAACAAACAAACAAAAAAAGCCCTTTAGAAGAGACAGAAGGGGCTGGTGGGTTTTGACCCAGGCCCTCCCGAGGCTATCCTGTGTTTCTATCTGTCTCTCTCCTCTATATTTCTATCTAAATATTTCTCACTTTTCCCTGCTCAAGAATGCCCTGGGGTAAAAAGTGGGAGCAGACCCCCCACGGGGTCTCCATGGGGTCATCCCCTCAGTGAAGTCACCACTTTACCCCACAGCTCATAGGGACGAGGCCTGGGATCCACAAGCCTGGGGTACTCAGGAACAGGCCCGAGGACGGCACAGAGCCATGAAGGAGGAAGTCCCAGGTCTCCCACAGCTAGGGACCTGGGTGTCCTGCTTCTGACCATGTGTGGCCACACAACAGAAACGTTCAGTGGCTAAAAGGTATTTTCTCCCTGCAAACAGCTCCCCCGCCGCCTGTGCCCACGTGTGCCCACGCCTGAGGTCCGCTACCAGGTGGGTTTCTGAGAGTCCCGTACGACATTCTTTTTTTGTTTGTTTGTTTGTTTTTTGTTGTTTTGTTTCGTTTTTCGAGACAGGGTTTCTCTGTGTAGCTTTGCGCCTTTCCTAGAACTCACTTTGGAGACCAGGCCGGCCTCGAACTCACAGAGATCTGCCTGCCTCTGCCTCCCAAGTGCTGGGATTAAAGGTGTGCATCACCACCGCCCGGCCGTATGAGATTCTTATGCTTAGAGGCCACATACCCTGGACAGGCCTCAGCCTCACTGAGTAGCAGAGGATGACCTTGAACTCCTGATCCTTCTGTACCCGCAATAGTGCTGGGATTACAGCCCGTGCCAAGCTTGGTTTATGCTGAGCCGGGGAGAACCCAGGGCTTCGTGCATGCCGGGCACGAACTCTGACAACTTAGCTCTAGTCCCTTTCTGACAGGCAGGTTGTATCAAATTTATTTTTATTCATGTGTAAGTATGTGCGTGTGTGCGTGCGTGCGTGCGTGCGTGCGTGTGTGTGTGTGTGTGTGTGTGCCCGCCCACAGAAGCTAGAAGAGGGTGTAGGATCCCCGCAGCTGGGAGCCGCCGACATGACTGCTGGGAACTGAACTTCTGTCCTCTGCAAGAGCAGCAAGTGCTCTTTTTTTTTTTCTAACTTGAACTTTTTATAAAAAAAAAAAAAAAAATGGAACAGTTCACGAATTTGTGCTCTTAACCAATGAGTCGTCTCTCCAGTCCCACAAACATCGTTTTTTTCTTGGTGCCCGGGATAGAACTCAGGGCTTTGCACAAGTTAAGCCTGTCCTTGACCACTGAACCACACCACCAGTCCTTCCACAAATGCCTCCTATGGAAAATTTTGCTGTAAGTTCCTGTCATGAATATGCAACAGGGACGTGTGCGGTCTTGAGCTCGCTCTCCGCCGTGGGAGGCAGCCAAGTGGAGGCTGCATGTGCTGTGCTGTCAGAGAGCTTATCAGCGAGATCCGAGTGTGGGCGGGAAGGGCCCAGTCTTTCCAGCTCGGAGAGTCTGGCGTTCCGAGTGCCTGGCAATCGGTCCACAGCAGACACACAGAGGAGGTAACTGATTTGCCCAAGGTCACACACGACAATTTGGACACAATGAAAGGACAGTTTATTCCTGTCACATTTTATAGTTCACAGATTGTACGCCACTGGTCTAACCTTGGAGACCACTCTACTAATGCTGGAGTACCATTGTACAGACCTGGAAACTGAGGCAGGGTAAGTGTCTTGCCTGAAGTCACCCAGGCAGGAAATGTTAGTTTAATGTTGTTGTTTATCTGACTCCGAACCATCACCCACGCCCAGACGATATCTGCATTAATAGTAGGGACCCCATACTTTGCTGTGAGTCCATTGCACAGCTCCTGCCTGGGAGCCGGAAGCCTGGCGATCTCAGCAACTTCAACCTGACCACGCATAGGCATGAGCAAACAGCATCTCCCCTCTAGGAGGGTGGTGGCCAGCGGGGGAGTGTTCCTGGCAAATGGCTACAAGGTTTCAGGTCACTGAACTGGTCTCACCCAGAAGGCAAGTTAGAATGGAGACATGTGCTTTTGGGAATTGGTTTCAGGTAGCCCAGGCTGGCCTCAGACTAGCTCACTATATGGCCAAGAGTGACCTTGAACTCCCGATCCCCCTTCACCCGACTTCCCAGCATGCTCCACCATCAGATGAACTGTTTAAAACTGTTTATTATTTAGGAATGCATATCCCTGCGCCAGTTACGTGCACCATGAGTTTACACGTTCCCTCAGAGGTCAGAGGGCGATAGGTCCCCTGGAACGGGAGTTACAGGTGGTTGTGAGCTGCCAAGTGGGCACTGGGACTCGAACCCAGGACCACTGGCAGAGCAGCCGGTGCTCTTAACTGCTGACTCATCTCTCCAGCCCTGTTTTTGAGTTCTTCACAGGAGGTCAGTGGCCTCCTCCTCTCCAGCCCTGCTTCAGCTTGTTCTACGGGTAGTGGCGGTGCCTGGGATGATGCAAAGACCCGTGCTTCTGTCACAGGAAGCACGCCTACTCATGTGGGGACACACCAGACAGGTCAGATGCAGGCAGGCAGGCATGCAGCCACAAGTCTGCTGCGGTCCCAGCATTCGGGAGGTAGAGGCAGGCAGGCAGATCTGGAGTTTGAGGATAGCCTGGGCTACACGACCCTGCCTCAAACAAACAAACAAACAAACAAAAACAACAACAACAAGCCCAAACCTAAACAAGACAGAAATGCAGAGAAACAGAAAGAAAAAGAAAGCCCCAGAATTCCTCCACCGGGAAATGAATGTTTGGCCTATGTCCTTAGGTCATCTATATTGTTTTCACTGCCACAGGGAGCAGTGCTATGTATTATTGTACACACTTGTAACTTACTTTTTAAACCTACTATATGATGTATATATTTATTTGCCAATAAATACCTACATATTTATTGTTTACTTGTTTCGGAGTGTGTGTGTGTGTGTGTGTGTGTGTGTGTGTGTGTGTGTGTGGTAGATGCACCTCCCTTTGCATGTACACATAGAGGCCGTGATCTCTCACTGACCCTGGAGCTCACAGTCCCCACCTGACCAGCTGGCCATCCAGCCCCTGGATCCTCTTCTCTGTGCCCCACCCCCACCCCAGTGCTGGGTTACAAGGTCACAACTCCACACTCAGCTGTTAATGTTGGTCCTGGGCACCTGAACTGGGGTCCTCATGCCTACAGCAAGCTCTTTACCCCTGGACCATTCCTCTGGCCCCGTTTTTAGTGTGTGTGTGTGTGTGTGTGTGTGTGTGTGTGTGTGTGTGTGTGGTGTGTGTG